TGCAGCAAAATAGGATTGAAGGTATCAGAGAAAGAAGGGACGCAACTTCAAAAAGCACATTAAAAATCCTTTCTAGACTGTGTGTTCACATATGATGTGCAGACCAAAGTATTTACCATTTAAACAAGGAAGTTAGCCACCGACACTACTGGGTGATTAGGAAGCTAAGATCATTCCATTTTCACATAGTTGGAAGCCCATGGTTGCCTGGGGGCTCCCAGGGATCCCAAGTGTGGCCATTTGGATGATGCCATGTAGTCTGTCTGACATCCTCAGGAAGATTTGCTGAGTAGACACAACTCAAAAAAATACATTTATCCTTTAATCAAAATTATTTATTCCTACAGCTACAGATTTCAACAGAACGGTAAGTCTTGGGTCCTTTCACAATCTTTGATGCTGCTGTGGAGTCCGTTCCAATTCATAGAAACCCTGTGTAGGGCTTCTGAGAAGCGGCTGGTGAGTTTGAACCACCAACCTTGCAGTCCAGTGCTTACCCTACAGTGCCACACCAGGACTCCTTCACACTCTTGAGTTTAAAAAAAAAAAAAAAAAAAAAATCCATTTGCAGGACAAAGAGAACTCCTCAAAAGAGAATGCAAGTACTTCAGAGATCTCCCTAAGTACAGGAGACTATAGTCAGCATCATCATGTGGTAGGCTCGAGTTGTTCTGACCCATAGAGACCCTGTCTGTATAGGGTTTCTGAGGAACGCCTGGTGAGCTTGAACTGCCAACCTTGCAATTCAAACCTACCTTACAGTTCAGTACATTAACCCACAATGCCACACCAGGACTCCAGGTTCAAGAGAGAGAATGCTTAATATTGTTTTATGGGAAATTTAGACTGACAAATGTGATGAGAAGACAAGATTTTGTTGTTGTTAAGTGCCGTTGAGTCAGTTCCTACCATAGCGACCCTGTACAGGGTTTCCGAGGCTGTAAATCTTCATGGGAATAGGAAGCCTCATCTTTCTCCCGTGGAGCCTCTGGTAGTTTCGAACTGCTGACCTCAAGGTTCATAGCCCGATTCATAACCACTACGCTATCAGACAAGATAGGGGGAAAAATGTCATTTGGGAATCTAATGGGTTACTTTTCTTCTAGGTTCTACTAGGAGAACATTATTTTTAATTAAGCAATCTTGTCATGTTTTTGTTGTTGTTTTAACGTGCAGTCGAGTCGGTTGTGACCCATAGTGACCCTGTATAGCATTTCCAAGGAGCAACTGATGAGCTTGAACAGCCCACCTTACAGTTCAAACCAACTTTGCAATCCAGCTCATTAACCCACAGTGCCACACCAGGAGTCCATCTTGCCCCAGACTACCATGTTTTAATGCAAATAATGAATGCATTATACTTTTTTTGCTAGCTGTGCAATGCCTTCCTTTATTAGTTTCCTATACACTATGCATGTTATGACAGGAGCTCTGGTAGTGTAACAATTATGAATCGGGCTGCTAACCTCAGGGTCAACAGTTCGAAAGTACCAGCTGTTCCGTGGGAGAAAGATGAGGCTTTCTGCTCCTGTAAAGATGTACAGCCTCGGAAACCCTGTATAAGGTCACTATGAGTTGGAACTGACTCCACAGCACATAATAACAACAACAACATGCATATTATGAGGAGCCCTGGTAACATAGTTGGTTATGCATTGGACTACCAACTACAAGGGTGTAGTGAAGTGCCATTGAGTCGGCTGACTTCTCTCGGGCCCTCTTTGAACTTACTTTCTCCAGCTCTGTAAATTGAGAGAGGGGGTGAGATTCTGGAATCTGAACAACCTGGTTGAGTCCCAGCTTTGCAACTCACTGCTGGGTGATCTTGGGCAGGTATTTAAATTCTCCAAGCCTTGGTTTATTGATGGGTAAAATGGGACTAATGATGGTGTGTAGCTCATAGGTGAAGGGGTCCTGGTGACATAATGGTTCAGCACTCTACAACTAACTGATAGATTGGAAGTTAGTACATTCCTTTTAAGGGAATGTTATTTAAAATAAAATGTACAAGTATGTGTGTAATCCAGAAAAGTTGCTTCCATAGATGCTTTATCTCTTTCATCTGTCTGGTTTCTATGTTACACTTCATCACCAATGGGCAATTGACCAGTCAAACAATGTGCTTCATGTATATTAATGAGGAAAAAATGAAATGTTTATAGATTATAACATTTAAAAGCTCAACAAAGCTCTAAACAATTCAAGTTTTCAAGACTATAACTCTTTATAGTCATGAAACTATAAAAAAATCATTTGAGCAATCAATAAGTAAACACACAATTCTCTGAAAAATAAAGCAATGCCAAGATTCAATTACAGATATTCAAGAATTCTTTATTTTGCTTTCACAGCCAGCAAGATGGTAATTTCAGAATTTCTTATTAATGTTGTTGTTAGGTGCCGAGTCAGTACCGACTCACAGAAACCCTATGTACAACATAACGAAACACTGCTCAATCCTGGGCCAACCACACAATTGTTGCCACGCTTGAGCCCATTGATGCTGCCACTTTGCCAATCCATCTCGATGGGAGTCTTCCTCTTTTTCTCTGACCCTCTACCTTACCAAAC